AGAATTGAATTTACCTGTGTGTTGACTTATCAATTAATAACTGACTCAATGGGTATTGAGTGGCCATATTAGTCTGCATCAGTATGTTAAGGAATATTGTAATACTGGGAATGATCCCGTGGTCAGGAATACTAAAGGAAAAGGGAGTTCAGAATGGATGGGAGTTTCTCAAAAGGGAGATACTGAAGGCACAATCTCAGACTGTTCCAATGAGAAGGAAAAATGGAAGATGTCTCAAGAAACCAGATTGGATGACAAAAGAACTTTTTGTTTTTAACAGAGGGGCGGGGTATAAATAAATTTTATTTTTATTATAATTATTATTAGAACTTTCAATTGAACTAAGTTTTAAACGGGAGATGTATAAGAAATGGGAAAGGAGCAAAATCACTAAAGAGGAATTCAAGCAAATAGCTAGCATATGTAGGGGTAAAGTCAGGAAAGCCAAAGCACAGAATGAGCTCAGACTCATTAGAGGGGTTAAGAACAACAAAAAGGACTTTTTTGGGGTATGTCTGTAACAAGAAAGAAGAAGGAAATGATAGGACCACTGCACACAGAAGATGGAAAAATTCTAACAGGGGAACAGAGAAAAGGCAGAATTACTCAAGACCTTCTTTGCCTTAGTCTGCTCACAAAAGGAAAAGGTTGCTCAACCTGAGGAAAATGGAGCAGAGGACACAATAGGGGAAATGCAGCACAGAATAAGTAAAGAGGTAGAACAGGAATACCTGGTTAATCTAAATGAATTTAAGTCTCCAGGACCAGATGAACTACATCCAAAGATATTAAAAGAATTGGCAAATGTAATATCAGAGCCAATGGCAATAATCTTTGAGAATGTTGCCATTTATACAAAGATGCTAATTATGAATGACATTTTTGCTTTAGGATATAGTTGTTGAAATAGGTTAGCAAAGAGATATTGTAGCACTTTGGGGGCATGTCTACACCAGCCAAACAAAATGGTCTCACCTACTTCTCACAGAGAGCTATGGGATGATTGGAGCCAACTGAGCCTTTTTATGGCTTCAGGGCCAGAGAACAGGAGAAGTCCCAGCAGACTGAAGGAGGGCAAACATTGTCCC